ACCTCCATCCAACATGAACACAACAAGGTTGTCCTCTGTGAAAATAATTCCTTTGTAGGTTCATCTTATAGCCCACCTTCTAATATGAGAGTTTGGAACCAAAGAGCGTCCAGGTCTGTGGCTTAACTTTTGGAACTTATACAGCGTTTATTGACTCATCCATAACTGGGGGTCAACCTGATCTGGTAAGAGGCAGTGTTTGGTGATGGTGGACTCTTTTCTATCTTCTCCTGGCCATTTTTGAGACCTCTTTAGCAGCACTGAGGTTCCGGTGAAGAGGGGCTTATTTTATATATCTTCATCTTGTGGATTGGACTTTTAAGTTTAAAAATGTTTTGAAGTGCCGTACTTTTGTATATTATTTTATATGTATTGTTGCCTGCAATGTTGGGGTGGCTGCTCATGTAGATTGAATATTCATTTTTTCATTTCATAATTTTATATACCATGGCATGGAATTCTAAAGATTTTTTTAATCTAGGAAACCTACCACAAGACATTTTATGCAGCCATTTCTGGAGTGCATGCATATAGACAAAAATGGTGGCAATGGGGCAGCAGGAGGCCCTGGGCATAAACATGTTTACCTTTACCAGTAGATCCCCTCGTAAACACACACACACACATCAGAATGATAATTTGATAATTCATAAGGCATGCATGTCACAGATATCTAGTCTTTCTGTTCAGAGGAACTGCACAGAAAATATGTCTATGAGTTTATTTTTTTTTCAGATCGATTACTTTCTCATTGCCTAGCAAGTAGGTTACAGTGTTAATTGATTAATTTTACCAAGTTTACCCATTCTTTATATTCAACCAATAGTTGTTTTTTTTAAATTTAGACTGGAGGTCATCTTTAAGCTGTATTTATGGATACAAACTCTGATGAATTTAAATGGTTAAGCATTTTCAGTGGGTGCTATAAAAATAAGAACAGCTTATTGTAGTTTTTTATTGCTTCTGCTCAGAGGAAGGTAATGGTTATGCTAAATTCTTACCAAGAGGCAATACACTGCCATGTTTTTTGCATCTTTATCATCTGCTTAAGGCATAAAAATACAAATCAGTGAATGAAAGGCTGTTAGGTTGTGGCACTGTACAGAACATGCGCCATACTCTACAACTAATAGTCAAAGAAGCAAGACTCCTGGCACATCATGCATTCTGTCAGCTCACATATAAATCGAAAATGCAGTGAGACAGAACAGAACATATGTGATTTGACAAGAAAAAATGCTAAAGGTTACAATGTCATAACAGCCTCAGCGATTTTGCAAATCATTCATTTTCTAGGATTATCATCTCAGCAGATTATTATTTGACTTGGATTTCACATGATAAACTACTGCATTGCGTTGCATCATCTGCAATATGTTCTACTGTGAGACATGCTTTATAAATAGTAGAAAGCAAGCTGCTCATGTGGTAAACAGAGCAAATGCATTCGTGGAAAAATTTGTAAATACATTATATACAGCATATACTATCTATCTATCTATCTATCTATCTATCTATCTATCTATCTATCTATCTATCTTGTGAAGTTTGGTGGTTATTTAACTCAGGGTAATGTTCATCAGAGAGTAGAGTCCATGCAGGAAATTGTCGCTTAAGGGCTTGTGGGCCCACTTTTATTAAAGAAAACAAAAAAAGTCCATAATATGTATGTTTCCTATAAACCATCAACACAAAATAACAGCAAATTCAGTCTCCTGGCTCACACATGCCACAAGATAGTTATCCAGTCTCCTGGCTTACACATATAATGGCTCTGCTCAGGCATTAAACATCAGGCCCTCTTCTATCTCCCACAGGCCACTTCCTCGCCAACACTGTCCACACAGGTGGCAGCCCCTTGCTGTTCTGGTCCTCAGGCTTGGGAGTCCTGTCCTGTCCAATGTACAAATGCACCCCTCTGGCTTCTCCCTTACACACACCATCCAGATGATGGAGCCCAGAACCCTGGTCCTGACACTACAAAAAGCCTAGAGCTCAACTGTGCAATAGTGTCCTGGCTATTCCTAAAACCTGGTCCCAGGACTGGAGATTTCCTTCCACCCCGATCACTGTGAAATCTCCAGGCTCCAGGTCCCAAACCGAGTTTTATCAATCTTCAAGGAAATCATCATGACAGATCACCGCACTGTCCCTATATATACAGTCATGGCCGAAATTGTTGGCACCCTTGATATTTCTCCAGGAAATCATGTATTTCTCACGAAACGTATTATTAACACATGTTTTGCTATACACATGTTTATTCCCTTTGTGTGTATGGGGACAAAACAAAAAAAGGGAGGAAAGAAAGCAAATTCATAATGTCACACAAACCTCCAAAAATGGGCTGGACAAAAGTATTGGCACCCTTTCACAACATGGGATAAATAAGAATGTTACAAGCATGTGATGCTCCTGTAAACTCACCTGGGGCAAGTAACAGGTGTGGGCAATATAGAAATCACACCTGAAAGCAGATAAAAAGGAGAGACGTTCACTTAACTTTGCATTGTGTGTCTGTCTGTGCCACACTAAGCATGGACAACAGAAAGAGGAGACGAGAACTGTCTGAGGACCTGAGAACCAAAATTGTGGCAAAATATCAACAATCTCAAGGTTACAAGTCCATCTCCAGAGAACTAGATTTGCCTTTGTCCACAGTGCGCAACATTATCAAGAAGTTTGCAACCCATGGCTAGCTAATCTCCCTGGTCGTGGACGGATGAGGAAAATTCATTGCAACGCAGAATAGTCCGGATGGTGGATAAGCAGCCCCAAACATGTTCCAAAGACATTCAAGCTGTCCTGCAGGCTCAGGGAGCATCAGTGTCATGCGAACTATCCGTCGACATTTAAATGAAATGAAACGCTATGGCAGGAGACCCAGGAGGACCCCACTGCTGACACAGAGACATAAAAAAGCAAGACTACAGTTTGCCAAAATGTACTTGAGTAAGCCAAAAGCCTTCTGGGAAAACTTCTTGTGGACAGATGAGACCAAGATAGAGCTTTTCGGTAAAGCACATCATTCTACTGTTTACCGAAAACGGAATGAGGCCTACAAAGAACAAAACACCCTAATGGTGGACCTTTTGGGGTTGGCTGCCTCTGGCACTGGGTGCCTTGACTGTGTGCAAGGCATCATGAAATCCTGAGGATTACCAAAGGATTTTGGGTCGCACTGTAGGGCCCAGTGTCAGAAAGCTGGGTTTGCGTCCAAGATCCTGGGTCTTCCAGCAGGACAATTACGTCAAAAAGCACTCAGAAATGGATGGCAAAGAAGCCTGGAGAGTTCTGAAGTGGCCAGCAATGAGCCCAGATCTAAATCCATTGAACACCTGTGGAGAGATCATTGCTGTTGAAAATCCTCCAGAGACCTGGAGCTGTTTGCAAAGGAAGAGTGGTCCAAAATTCCGGGTGAGAGGTGTCAGAAGCTTATTGATGGTTATAGGAAGCGACTGATTTCAGTTATGTTTTCCAAAGGGTGTGCAACCAAATATTAAGTTAAGGGTGCCAATACTTTTGTCCAGCCCATTTTTGGGGTTTTGTGTGACATTATGTCATATTTGCTTTTCTGCCTCTGTTTTATATTTGTTCCAATACATACAAAGGGAATAAACATGTGTATAGCAAAACATGTTTAATGCAATCAAGGAAATCATCTTGATTTTCAGGAAAAATATCACAACAATTTCGCACTGTCCTGTATATATATATATATATATATATATATACATTCCAAAAATCTGGCAGGAATGTAGATGGTGTATATGGTTGACCTAGGTGGTGACTTGATGAGGGGCTCCTGGATTGATGACTGACATGGAGAAATTGTAATAACGCCCTAATGGGTCCTGAGGCCTGGAGGTTTTGTAGAGCTTTAGGTGAGATAAAGCCTCTGGTCCTAGGTCCACATATTACATGGTAGTCACACATTGTTTTTAGTCTCAGCTGTGTGCACGCCCTGTATTTATGCAAGCTGAATACTGCTCAGGGATCTCTCTCTCTTTCTCTTTCTCACACTCGCTCTCTGCTGTGGAAGCCTTCTGCTGAGTGAAAATACAGACAGAACACTAAAAAAAGGTGCTGCTTGTTTGGTTTAATGAACTCATTAGCGGTCACCCTGTTAAGCTGGCTATACACAGCTATTTTTTTTATTTTAATTCAGCCTTCAGGTTGAACTAAAAAAAAAACAAGAGATTCCTTCATCCACACAAGCAAGGTACTGGAAGAATCTCCCTCAACAGGACATTGTATTCTGATGGCAGGACTGGCTGATTTGCTGAAGTTGCTGAACAACAAAAGTTTTCTAACATGTTGTCAGGGAAGGCCTGCCCTAAGTGCAGGTTAATTTGCACGGCGCACACTCCCTGGGATTGGCAAGCCAAGCAGATGTGCAGGCGCCTGGACAGAGGCGCGCGCAGTTGCGCTCACGCATGCGCACACGCGGGCACGTGCCTGTCATTAATGCTGGCGCCAAGAGGGCTATTTAAACTGATTGCTGTGGTTATCTCATTGCCGTATGGTCTTTTCCCCCTGCTCGTGTTTCCTGACTTCTGTGATTGATTCCTGTTGCCAGCTTGTTCCTGATGACAGAAGCATGATCGCCTCCTGCCCTGACTTCTGGCCTGTCCTTGGATTATTCTTCTGCCTGCTCCTATCTGTCTCTCACCCTAAGACCTGCAAAAACATTATAATAAATATAATAAATAGTGCACATGAGTATGACAGAAGGTAAGATGACTGAAAAATATGCTCCCAGGTGCTTGCAACTAGTATATTAACAGCTTCTGCACCACCCTATAGCAGAAATACTACTACAGGGTGGCACAGCTGTGCAAAATCACATATATATACATGATTGCATTTCTGGGTAGGGGGCACGTGTGCGTCTCGCTCGTGCCCTAACTGCAATGCCATTTGCTGTCGATCTCCGGGTCCCGCCCAGTGATTCCCTGCTGGCACCCGGCTATCACTGAGTATCACGGATGGGGGAGAGACCTGTATGTAAACAATACAGATCTCTCCTCTGTCAGCTCCTGCACATTGCTTTTCATGCAGTGTGCTTACAGTGTAAAGCACACACACAGCACACAGTGAAACAGCATACAGCACACAGTTAACCCTCTGATCACCCCAGATGTTAACCCCTTCCTGCCCAGTGTCATTAGTACAGTGTCAGTGCTTTTTATTAGCACGAATCACTGTATTGGTGTCACTGGGGATGTCAGTGACAGTTAGTCAGTTCCCCCCAGTGTTAGAATGCTTGCCATTGTCCCGTAGTTCCACTATAAGTTGCTGATCGCCACCATTACTGGTATGAAAAAAAATTCCAGTATATATACCGCCATTTGTAAATGTTATAACTTTCACGTAAACCAATTAAATTACACATATTTGGATTTTTTTTAGCAAAGACATGCAGCAGAATACATTTTAAAAAATTTTTACTGGACATGTTTTATAGCAAAGAGGCAAAAATATTGGGGTTTTTATTTTTCAAAATTGTCGTTCTTTTTTTTTTTTATAGAACTAAAAATAAAAACCACACAGATGATCAAATACCACTGAAAGAAAGCTCTATTTGTGGGAAAAAAGGACGACGTAAATGTAATTTGGGTGCAGCGTTGCACGACCGCACAATTGTCAGTTAAAATAACAGTGCCATATCGCAAAAAATTGCCTGGTCATGAAGGGGGGTAAATCCTCTGGAGGGTAAGTAGTTAACCACCTCCCGTCCGGCCATTGTATATAAACGGTCGGACGGTGGCAGTGCAGGGTCGGGTGGCTGTTTATAAACAGCCTCCCCGCCCCCTGCTTGTGCGCGCTCCCTGGGAGTGCGCAGCACCATCATCCAGTGCCCACTGTGTCCTCCGGACACAGTGGGACACTGATCGTTGTACGGGACCTCTGTGGGAGGTTCCGATCATGTGATCACTGATTGGCAAATGAGTGATCACAAGTAGAGTAGTAAGCAAGATGTCACTTCTGACATCATTGCTTACTACGTGTGAAATCTGTGAATGATCACAGAGGTCACATGGTACAAGGCTATTCACAACAGCCTTGAACCATGTGACAAGCTGTGACCAATCACAGCTCACACAGTAGTTCTCAATGGCTGCAAGAATGCAGCCAGAGAGAAGGAGAAATGATTGCTTTTTACAGTCTTTATGGGTGTAAAAGCAATTAGTGTAAAAAAAAAAAAAAAAAATCTTCACCCCCCCCCCCCCAAAAAAAATAGTACAGTGTCACCATGGTCACTGTACTGCTAGGGTGACAGTATGTAAAAAAAAATTTAATAAATAAATAATGATATAAAAAAATAAAATAAAAATGTAAAAAATTTTTAAAAATTATAATTTTTGGTTATAAACTAACTTGGGTGATTTTTTTTTTACTAAAAAGATAACAGAATAAATTTTGGCCAAGATTTATGATGAAATATTATTTATTTGCAAAATTTTATAAGAAAAAAACCACTTTTTTTAAAATTTTTGGACTTTTCATTTTTATAGCAAAAAAAATTAAATCCCAGTGGTGAATAAATACCACCAAAATAAAGCTTTATCTGTCTCAAAAAAATGCAAAAAATTTCATATGGGTACAGTGTTGCATGACCCGCGCAATTGCCAAAGTGTGATAGCACTGAAAGCTGAACATTGGCCTGGACAGGAAGGGGGGGTAAACGTGTCCGGACTTGAAATGGTTAAATTGTTCTCCTCCGAATGAACTCTCAGACAGATAAATCATTGGTAGACTCACTGCTAAGCATGATAGGTGACTGGTGATCAAGCAAAGGCAATGGCTGTGTTTGGAAATAAAACATTTCCTGTTTTCCAGTGGGGCTTGGAGTTCTGAAATGCACGTGGCACATTTTAATTGACTACAAATGCTAATTTCTGAATAGTTGTGAGTGTGCTGGAGCTCTTAGCCAGAACAAAGCTGGAGGATTCCCAGAAGTGTGCACCTTGTGTCGGTACTGTAAAATGAGTGGGTTGTAGACTGCTGTTAAAGCATAATGTTACTTTGTTCCTGGGTATCACTATTGCTAGACACCTGGTGCACATATCCTGCGTCTGTTGGGGATTGCCCTAGGTCCCTACACCACAATCTCTCCCATTTTTTCTATAATTTGTGTGCTAGCTGCTGGCTTTTGTTACATTGAAGAATATTTGAGATTGATTAAAACTGGAATAATAAACTCTAATATTATTTATGCGCTGCCACTATTTCTACAGTACATACAAACAAGTGTACTTTGTGTAATCCAGCTGCTGCAAGCAGCACAATGTGTGTTCACCACAAAAAAAAAACTAGTGAGTTTTGCACTGCTGAGTACAATAAGAAAATAAATGATATCTTGTGCCACTGTGTCCTATGTGGTTATTGAAACAACACTTCATCAAACAAATAGAAATACCAATAAACTGATCTCAATATGACAATCAATCCTATATAGTGAAGAAAATGTCCCATATACAGTAATTCCAATATAGTCTCTTAAGTGAATATGTGCTTTCACAATACCAACTTCCCACAGGAAGCCCACAGAGCCCAGGGCCATCTTTAAGGAGGGGCAAAAGGGGCAGCTTTCCTTGGCCCAGTCATTGTTGTGGGGCCCAAAGCATCTGTCCCATACTTGCCAACTGTACTGGTTTACACTCCCTTGTGTCTGGAAGTCTTTGTTCAGGGCTGTATCAGATATCTGAGTGTGAAGTGCTGTCATGTATACTGCCCAGCTCTGTCCTATTGCCATGTACAGATGACTCATGTGTGCAGATCATGTCACCATTCACATGTAAATAATAGCAGCATTCATATGTAAATAGTGGTGGTAATGTGCATTCATATGTAAATAGTGGTGGTAATGTGCATTGATGTGTAAATAGCAGTGACATTCAGATGTATATTAGCCCCCCCCCCCCCCACAGTTCCAGCCATCAACACCTTTGCTGGTGGTCAGTGTCAATTCTTCTTTACAGTGGTGGCCAGTGTAGAAATGTGTTGGTTGTTGGTGTAAAACCCCCCATTACATTGGATATCAGTGTAAATTCTTCATTACATTGGTGGTCAGTGCAAATTCCCCATTACATCATTTAATCCCCCCTAACATTGGTGTAGAAATATTACCTCCCATCCCCATCCAGCACTGCCACTGATCCCATCCTCCCCAAGCACTGCCATTGATCCCACCCCCCCATCAGCACTATCACTCATCCCATCCCCCAGCACTGCCACTTATCCCATCCTCTCCACCACTGCCACTGATCCCATCAACCCTCCCCACAGCTTTGCCACTGATCACATCCTCCCCCCAGCACTGCCCATGATCCCAGAAGTCCTAGGAGTTTTCGGTCTATTGGTGGGTCCCCTAAACTTCTCAGTCCATGGTGTGCAGGTAGTGAGGAGATAATGTGCTGTACCCATCAGCGAGAAGTAATTAGGTGCTGTAACCTCTAGTAATCAATGTATGAGTGGTAATGATGTGCAGTATCCTCTAACAACCAATCAGTGAGCGGTCATAATGTGCAGTAACCTATAGCAACCCACCAGTGACCAGTAATGATGTGCAGTAACCTCTAGAAACCAATCAGTGAGCAGTAAGGATGTTCAGTAACCTCTAGCAACCAATCAATAAAGCAGAAATCATGTACTGTAACCTCTAGTATCTAATCAGTGAGCTCTAAAGTGTGCTGTAACCTCTATCAATCAGTCAGTGAGTGGTAATGCTATGCTGTAACTTCCGGTAATCAATTGCAATTGATGACTGATCTGCTGGAGTAAACTGATTTTGAGTTCAGCTGCTATTTATTTTATGCCTCAGAGCAGGTGGATAGAAAACTTTCATGGGGGGCCCAAGAAAATGTTTGCTCAGGGTCCCATCAATGTTAAAGATGGCCCTACCAGAGCCTAGGTGTCATTAGAGCCAAGGACCGGAAGTGTGGCAGTACTGTAAAATGGTCATGTCCTAAGAGACTGTTTTTAAAGAAATTAGTTTTATATGGAAATATTTGAGTGTATTTTTTAATAAAGGGCATGGTGACAGTTAATCCTACACTATAGTAGCTGCCTTGTGGTTCTGAGTTCTTCTCACAGATTATTAACGGCTGTGCAGCGGAGTTTCAAAGATACAGTGACCTTTTGTGAGCAAGTTGGCAAGTAGAGAGACCTGGACCAAAGAAGGCTTTTTTATATCATCCCCAGGATGTGGAGGAAATGCTGTTGGAACTATTTTGTTTATAGGTCATTGCTTCAAGGCGAGGGCACATCCTTATTCATTGTTTGAGGTGGTGCACATTGGTGTGAAATGTATTTAAAGCAATGAGATTGTGGCTTCACTTACCCATGGGAAGCTGGTATTGCAAAGGCATGTATTCACTAAGGAGACTATATTGGAAATATATGGGACATTTTCTTCACTATATAGAACTGATTTTTATATTGAGATCAGTTTATATTTACCCTCCTCCTCCATCCTACGCTCCCTCACCCACATCTTCAATCTCTCCCTCTCTACTGGCGTATTCCCCTCCCCCCTAAAGCATGCACACATCACCCCCATACTCAAAAAACCCTCCCTGGACCCCACCGACCTGAACAACCTTGGACCCATCTCCCTGCTGCCATTCACATCCAAGCTCCTTGAGCGCTTAGTCTACAATCGCCTAAGCTCCCACCTCACTGACAACAACCTACTCGATCCTCTACAGTCTGGCTTCCATCCCCTACACTCCACCGTAACCGCCCTACTCAAAATCACTAACGACCTGCTAACCGCCAAAGCTAATGGCCACTACTCAGTCCTCCTACTCCTCGACCTCTCCGCTGCCTTCGACACAGTTGACCACCCCCTCCTCCTTAATAAACTACACTCCCTTGCCATCAGAGACTCCGCTCTCTCCTGGCTTTCCTCCTATCTATCCCAACACTCCTTCAGCGTTACCTATAACGCTGCCATCTCCCCCTCTCTCCCCCTCTCTGTTGGGGTCCCCCAAGGCTCTGTCCTGGGGCCCCTTCTCTTCTCCATCTACACCTCTTCCCTCGGCAAACTGATACACTCCCACGGCTTCAACTATCACCTCTACGCCAATGACACGCAAATTTACCTCTCCACCCCTCGCCTCACCCCTTCAGTCTCCGCCCGTATCACCCACCTAATGAACGACATATCAGACTGGATGTCGCTCCATTTCCTCAAACTGAACCTTTCCAAACCCGAGCTCCAAGTTTTAACCCCAGCCCACGCCCCCCCCCCATCCTCTCCATCACGACCAACAACGCCACCATCAATCCCACCCCGCAAGCCAAAGACATAGGTGTCACCCTAGACACAAACCTGTCCTTCCAACCCCATGTCCAATCGCAAATTCATGCAGGCTCCACCTCCGCAACATCTCCAAGATACGTACGTTCCTAACCCCAGACACTAGTAAACAACTCATTCCCTCCCTTATTATCTCACGCCTGGAATACTGCAACTCCCTTCTCACCAGCCTACCCCAACACAGGCTATCCCCACTTCAGTCTATCCTGAACTCAGCGGCCAGACTCATCCACCTTACCAACCGCTCCACTTCTGCCACCCCCCTCTGTCATTCCCTCCACTGGCTTCCGATTGCCCAACGCATTAAATGCAAACTACTAAGATTGACATACAAAGCCATTCATAATGCTGCCCCAAACTACCTTACCAACCTGATACCCAAATACAACCCAACCCGTACTCTTCATTCCTCACAAGACCTCCTACTTTCTAGCTCCCTGGTCTCCTCCTCCCACACCCGACTGCGGGACTTCTCCAGGACTTCCCCCATCCTCTGAAACTCTCTACCCCAATCCATCAGACTGTCACCTACCCTCCTCACCTTCAGGCGCACCCTGAAAACCCATCTCTTCAGGGCAGCCTACCCACCCTCACCTAACAGCCGACTCCTCCTCCACTCCATCCCCCACAGCCACTTCCTCCTGTACCACTATCCCCTCCCTCCTAGATTGTAAGCTCGAAAGAGCAGGGTCCTTGACCCCCTCGTGTTTTGTTTTGCTACTGTATTGTCTCATGTTCTGTCCCCCACTATAATGTACAGCGCTGAGCAAACCTTTTGGTGCTATATAAATACTGTATAATAATAATAATATTAATATTTGTTTGATGAAGTGTTGTAATATATTTCAATAAACACATACGACACAGCGGCACAGGATGTAATTTATTTTTTATTTCCCTCAGCAGCGCAACACATATTAGTATTTTATTTTTTTAAAACTGGAATAGGATCAGCAACAGTTGTTAGTCATATTCAAGAAAGGCATCATAATGGGGATGTAAAAGCATTGAAAGATATGGGAGTGAAAAAAGATAAAAGTAGGGCATTGTGGAAGTGATTGTGGGAAGATACTTTTACAGGAAAAAGCTAAATTAATCTCAGCTATTAATGCAATGTTCTTTTACAGGAAAAAGCTCAAATTAATCTCAGCTATTAATGCAAATGTTCTTTTGGGACTAAAGAAAAGAAATTCATTGAATGTGTTCATGTAGTGACATCCTGGGTAGATATGCTGTATTATATGTGGCTTGTATTAGTGCTTGTGGCAATGACAGTGCTTGTTGTGGCTATATATGGGGCTTGTAGCAGTACTTTTAATAGTGCTTGTGAATGTGCTGTACATGGTATACAGTATGTGGCTTTTAAAAGTGCTTGTAGCAGTGCAGGTAGTAGTGCTTGTTACTGCCTGACTTAAGCCTTTGGCTTGTTATGTGGCTTGTAGCAGTGCTTGTGACAGGACTTGTAACAATGCTTATGGCAATGCTTGGTATGACTGTGTATGTTTCCACTATCAGTATTTGTTGTGGTTGTATATGTAGCTTGTAACAATGCTTGGATGACTGAGCTATGATTACGTCATTCCTGCACATTATTATTATGATTTCAGGTACTTATATAGCGCTGTCAATTTACGAGGAGCTTTACACATATATATTGTACATTCACATTCTTCCCTAACCCTCAAGGGGCATACAATCTAAGGTCCCTAACTCACATTCATACATACGAACCCGCAGGAAACCCACGCAGGCACAGGGAGAACATGCAAACTCCAGGCAGGTGGTGCCGTGGTTGGGATTTGAACCAACAACCCACAGGTACTGAGCTCTGAATGGACAGTACAGTTCATTCAGAGCATAATACGCAAGCGAAAGTGACATCACCGGTTGCCACTAAAGTAAATACTGTATCCTCTAAACAGTGCAAGTTATAGAGATATTTACAGTACCTACAGGTAAGCCCAACCACTTGCTGACCGCAGATAGCCAAATGACGGGGTCACCGCGACCGGCCAGTTCTGGGAGGGTGTCATATGACGTCCTCTCAGAAAGCACCCTCCCGTGCACCCATAGGTGCGCGCACCTGGCGATCTGCATGATTGCTGTGTCCTACGGACACAGCTGATCACATGATGTGGTAAAAGGCCAATCAGAGCAGCCTTTTACCACATGATCAGCCATGTCCAATGACACAGCAGATCACCGGTAAGTGCAGTTGCCTCTTATCAGCTGCACTTTCCTGGCAACTGGCAACTGTCAGAGCATCAGGGTACTGATGATCAGTGCCCAGCAGTGCCACCCACCTGTGCCCATCAGTTCCACCCACCTGTGCCCATCAGTGCCACCCACCTGTGCCCATCAGTGCCTAGTAGTGCCACCCACCAGTGCCCATCAGTGCCATCCACCAGTGCCCATCAGTGCCGCCCATCAGTGCTGCCCAGCAGTGCCACCCATTAGTGCCCAGCAGTGCCACCAGTCAGTGCCTAGCAGTGCCGCCAGTCAGTACCAACCATCAGTGCCCATCAGTGCTGCCCAGCAGTGCTGCCTATCAGTGCCCAGCAGTGCCACCTATCAGTGCCCATCATTGTTGCATATCAGTGCAGCATCATCAGTGCTGCCTCATCAGTGCCAGCTCATCAGTGCTGTCTATCAGTGCCGCCTATCAGTGCTCATTAGTGCTTCCTATCTGTGCCACTTCATCAGTGCCGCCTATCAGTTCCCATCAGTGCCGCCTATCAGTGCCCATCAGTACCACCTATCAGTGCCCATCAGTGCTGCCTATCAGTACAGCCTCATCAGTGCACATCAGTGAAGGAGAAAAATGACCTGTTTGCAAAATTTTATAATAGAAACAAAGAAAAACTTTTTCAAAATGTTTGCTCTTTTTTGTTTATAGAGCAAAAAATAAAACACCCAGTGGTGAGTACATACCACCAAAAGAAAGCTCTATTTGTGTAAAACAAATGATAAAAATTTTATATTGGTATAATATTGCATGACTGTGTAATTGTCATTCAAAGTGCAACAGTGCTGAAAGCTGAAAATTGGCTTAGGCACGAAGGGGGTATAAGTGCCCGGTAGGCAAGTGGTTAATAGGCGTACCTGTAGGTATAAATCAGACAGATGACTTTACTACCACTTTAAATGAACTTCACTCAGAGGGAGGGGATGTTTAAAGGATAAGTTCATCTTTGGGAAAATGTTACACGTTCCACCCATTTTTAGGGTGGAACATGTAACATGTTTCCAATCCTGCAACCACCGCCCGCTGCCCCCTTCCTCCCTGAAACAGAAGTACGGGAGAAGTTTGTGGTATTAGCTGCCAGTTTTCAAAAACAGCACATGTGAGGCTCTGCCCACATGGCCACGTCATTCATTCATAGTGTTCTGTGAATGAATGGACTACAAGTCCTGACATCCTTATCGGCTGTCAGCTTGTAGTCCTCAATGAACTTCCATGGAGATGTGAGCACTATGGTAGTTGATTGAGTCTTTATGTCAGCAAGTATTGTGTTGCCCGTAAGGGATGTACAGGCAAGCATATACCCTGATGGTCTGCTGGAGACCTGCACAGCACCAATGATCTGCTGATCACTGGTGCAAAGTTTTAGAGGCTCCTTTAAGGAGACACCTACATATTTAAATAGCAGGTAAACCCTAAGTGAAGATAGATCCAACTGCCTTGAGAAAGCATGCACTTTTAAATGTTTTTAGCCTTTGGAATTCATGATCAAATTAAGAAGAGTGATATGGTATGAGTTCTCTGAAGTTTTGTTTTCTTAGATTGCTGTATTTGAATACCTACTTACCAGGAGCACCAAGAGCTGTTGCTTTCTCAGAGGTTAAAAATGTGGAATATTTAACCACTTCTGCACAGCTCTATAGCAGAAATACTGCTACAAGCGGCACGGTTGTGCAAAATCACCGCGCTGCCATTCGCGGCTTCGGCTGTCAATCACCAGGTCATGGATGGTGATTCCCCACTGGCACCCGGTGAACGCCGAGTATCACGACGGGGGAGAGACCTGTGCATAAACAACACAGATCTCTCCCCTGTCAGCTCATGCACACTGCTTCGTATGGCACACAGTAAAACACACACGCAGCACACAGTTAACCCTTTGATCACCCCAGATGTTAACTCCTTCCTGCCTAGTGTCATTAGTACAGTATCAGTGCTTTTTATTAGCACTGATCACTGTATTGGATGTCAGTGACACCAAGTCAGTTCCCCCCCAGTGTCAGAATGCCTGCCGCAGTCCCATTATAAGATGCTGATCGTCGCCATTATTAGTAAAAAAAAAAAATTCCAGTATATATACCAGCATTTGTAAACGCTATAACTTTCACATAAACCAATTAATTTACATGTATTGGGATTTTGTTTTTTACCAAAGACATGTAGCAGAATACATTTTGGCCTAAATTTATGATGAAATTTGATTTTTAAAATTTATTTACTGGACATGTTTAATAGCAAAAAGTCAAAAATAATATTTCTTTCTCAAAATTGTGGGTCTTTTTTTTTATAGCACAAAAAATAAAAAAAGCAGAGGCAATCAAATATCACCAAAAGGAAAGCTAATTTGTTGGAAAAAAAAGAATGTAAAAGAGTGTTATTTGGGTGCAGAATTGCATGACCACAATTGTCAGTTAAGGTAACGCAGTGCCATATCGCAAAAAATAGCCTGGTCAGGAAGGGGGGGGGGGGGTAAATCCTCTGGAGGGCAAGTGGTTAGGGGCAATCTCTTCTTTATACAAATATACATTAGTCTGAGCTCCTTTGAGATTTACCAACTGTGGGTGCCACACAACTATTTTCCTTGTATGTGCTTCTGTCTTCTGCCCCTGCCTGCTGGCTCTCTTGCTGCCTATCAAACTATCACAAACTGTTCAGATGGTGATCTGGCATATAGACTACATGTACTTACTCATTCAATATGTGAGCATATAATCTCAAAGCTCTAAATTTGGAACATAAGTATTTTGGCTTTTTTTTAAGGGTGTCAATCAAACAACATACAGTATATGAGATTTGCTGGCACATATTGTAACTATTGTAGATATGAGGTCAATGCCCTAGACATGGTGAAATAAGGTAAGTCTTCCCAAAGTTGCACATGTTGCACCATGAGATTTTTCTGGGGCATTTAGTTCATATCTACAATAGGTATGTGCAAGCAAATTTCTTGTCTTGTAAACTTGTAATTTACATTTTTTTTATATACTTTCTAAATTTATTTGGATGTGTATCTTTCCTTTTAGATGCAATTGAGGATGTCATCTTGGTATTTCGTGCCTCTCATGTGGTTACTATTACACATCTTTATTTGGGGGCTGCTGATCCATGCTTGAATATTGTTTTATCTATACTAAAGGGAAACAGCGAGTGACCTTTCAGGGGAAGGTTTGCTTATATCTGATTGCTATATCAGTATTTTTTTTATTTATGTCTATTTGTGTATCCAAACTTAATTTTAATAGCACTCTCTGTTAAATAGTGCATTACACTCATGTAAATTCAAATTGCTAATTTTGTATTTTTGCATTTTTCTATTTCTAGTGGTATCCTTATGTAATTTCTTGTAATCTCCTGAAGAAGTCAATGAATGGCGAAACATGATGAGAATGGAAATTACTATAGACATTTATCACACGGATACCTATATCTGCTTTTAACCTAATCTACATATCTGCTGATTTATATATATATATTTCAATAAACTACTGTGTTTTAATAAAAATCATATATGTTGTTTGATTGGCACCCTAAAAATCCCTATATACTTAGTTTACAAATTTGTTGTGTTGTTGGGATGTGGTGCCCTGGATCTTCCGGCCTCATGAGCTTTATTTTCTAGTCTTCATGTTTCTAAGATTATCAAAAGAGATTTTTTTAAATTCCTAAACAATTTTAAGGAGAATGTAATTATTCAAATAGCTTTGTCAACAGTTGTTTGAATTTAAATGTTTAAAACATTCCTTTTTTTAAACATCATCATGCATAACATAATTTGTGCAGGGGGAAGATTTGTCCTTTGAGGGTTATAGTGGAAAGAACTGGAATTTTTTTTTCAGGAAGTTCTTTTTCTGACCCCTGTGCTCTGTGCACTATTAACTTTTGACCCCTGCACTTTGTTTGTTACTTCCTCTTCACACCTGTGCTTTGTGCATTTCCTACTCTTGTCGTCTTTACTCTGCACATGTCTTACTCCTGACCCCTACACTCAGTGTGTTACGTACCCCTAACCACTATACTGTGTGCATAATGTACTCCTGACCCCTGCACCCTGTACATTAGCACTTGATCTGTGCATTATATACTCCTAACCTGTGCTCTGTGCATTACATACTATTGATCCATACACTCTGTAGATGACATACTCCTGATCCCTGTGCTTTGTACTCATTTCTCTTGTGCTCTCTGCATTAGATACTACTGATCTATCACATACCTGGTGAAGACTGGAACGGTGTGGTGGCCTCTCTTGCACCTCCTGCCCAACACTCCTGAAGGTGGAGACAAAGAGGCATGGAGTGGCACAAGTGCTGGCTGGTGATGTCCTCTCTTTAGGTGGGTAAAGTTGATAGTTGCAATCCTCAGGAGAGGATGCAGGAACAGCTTGGCACCAGAGCAGAGGATGAAAGCAGGACCGGGGGACAGGTAGTGGTCAGCGACAGCTGGGTAGTGAGGGACCAAATCAGCAGGCAGATCAAATCCAGCAGACAGGCGAATGTCAGTATCAGCCAGGCAAAGTGGTACAGAATCAGCAAATAGAAGTCCAGTAAACAGGTCAGGATCAGAGTAATTAGGTGAACAATAGTGAGGCAGGAGCAGAAGGGAAGTCCAAGGGCAAGCCGGGTCATACACAGGTAAACAGGTGCAATGGATAAGGATTCAGAAACATGCTAACAAGCTGAAGGACATTCAGAAACTGCTCACAGTAACAGACCAGTTTCAATAGGCCACAGGGCACCAATTGCACATGCAAATCGGTATGCACATGTGTGCACGCTCACGCATGAACAAGAGCAACAAAGTGGAACAGTACATTTAACTGTTATGGAAGCATTGGCCATAGTACAGTCAAATCTCAAGGCATACACAGACGCACAGGTGCAGGCCCTAGGATATTCATTTTACTAAACATAGCCATGCACATATGTACGTGGGTGCCTGCACCCACCGCTGACACTGGTGCCGTATGGACTATCTAAGTACAGCAGTTGTACTAGTCAGTGCTGTATGATCTACAGCTCTCCCTGCCTTCCTATACCCATTCCTGTATTTGACTCCAGTGATTGATCCGGCTTGCCCTGACCACGCTTGAATGCTGGGTCTGCTGCTCCTGCTGCCATTTGCTGCAGTGGTCATCTGATCCATTCCAGGCAAGAACCTGCCCCTCACCTGTGCAGTCTGCTAGACACTCTGCAAGCACTCGTCCCTTGATGTGCTCTTGCAGCCACTGTTTCATCACCAGTGGTCCCTGAGCAGGAGGTGTAAGAGAGGCTGTACAAGTCAGGCTCTACTATCAGGTACGTTACACTAACATTGCCAATTTACTTGGAAATATGAGCATGTGTGCAATGTGCACACACATGAGCATGAGCATAGGTCTGCACTGATTTTCTATACATGATCCCTATGTTTTTTAATCTTTTCCCCTGTGCTCTATGCCTTACATACTTCTGTCCCCTGTGCTTTGTGCATTCTATACTTTTGATCTCTGTGCTCTGTTGGTTACATACTCTTGACCTCTTCACTCTGTATGTTCCATACTCTTGACCTCTTCACTCTGTATGTTCCATACTCTTGACCTCTTCACTCTGTATGTTACATACTCTTGACCTCTTCACTCTGTATGTTACATACTCTTGACCACTCTGATCTGTGAAATACGTATTTCTGGCCCCAACAACTACACACATTTTTTAAGATTTATATATGTCTGTGGGGCTATCACTTTTGGCACATTTTGTGGGTATACAGACTGTGGCATATGTGTGCTGTACATATTCTGGGTAATGAATAAGCGTCTGTCTTCAGCGTGAAATGCGTTTACCTGCCAGACCACTGTCTGTATTGTTTTTATTTTGGGTTCAATAAAGTGGATTGTTTGGAGTGCAGCTGACCGAACATCCTTTGTTCTCATCTATGCAGCACACGAGCTGGGCTAGCACCTACAGGAGGAGTTGTGCTTGGAGATTGGGAGTCTCTCTACCTTGAGCAGCGGTAAACATAAACAGTCCAATGTGTGTAGTAAGGGGCATAGTAAGTTTTTTTAAGTTGTCCTTTTTTGTCATAATTTTTTGGAAAACGAAGAAATTAAATGCAGTACAGTGTCACCAAATAACTGGTGTGGTGGTGTTCAGGTACACTGACTGGTGACAGTATGAAAAATAGTTTTTTTTTTCAATTTTTATTTATGTATTTTTTTAATAATTATTTTTTTCTTTTTTTAAACATTTTTTTTAACACACTGTGACCAGATCAATATAGTTTTACCATAGTAACATTGTACTACTCTGGGAAAGTGATCAGGATTTTTTTTTACACATTATGATTGTTTATATAATTGAGATTCACTGATATTTATTTATTTATTTCAGGTACTTATATAGTGCTTTACAAATATATATATTGTACATTCATATCAGTCCCTAACCCTCAAGGGGTGTACAATCTAAGCTATGAGCAGTCATTTTTATTGAATGAAATACATTAAGTCAGTATGTTTGTTGTGATTCGCTGTGATTAGCCACAGCTAATCACATGGTACAGATGGGCTATGATTGACTATGTCTGTACCATGTGATCACTGTGACCAATCACAGCTAGCAACACACAATGAATGGCATGAATCAAAGCCATTTATTGCTTACAATTGTCATTGTTCACAGTGATCACATGGTACTAGCAGCAGGGCCGGTACAGTGAGCTGTCTGTTGGATATGACATCCACCTCGAACAATAGAAATTGTTAAGCCCCACCCACTGCTAGCACAACTTGGCCACAAATGCTGTTTTTTTAATTTTCTCCTCACTGTCTTTCGGTGGCAATCATCACCATTACAAAGAGAGAGGTGAATCTCCCCAAAGGGGAAACAGACAACAAAAAAAAAAAAATGACAGAGGGTCTAATCCTTACCAAAGCTAAATAAAAGGTTTTGCCGTGTGACACATACATGAAGAGTAAGGTAACATTTTAAGGTAAAATGTGCATTAGAAATTGCTTGTGCTGTTCTTTAACTTTGTAAACTTTCTTTTTA